CGGATCGCTGTGAGTTCGAGGCCAGCCTGGGCTACCAAGTGAGTTCCAGGAAAGGCGCAAAGCTACACAGAGAAACCCTGTCTCAAAAAACCAAAAAAAAAAAAAAAAAAAAGAGTCCTTCAGGTATGTACCCAAGAGTGGTTGGTATAGCTGGGTCATTTGATAGTTCTATTTCCAACTTGTTAAGGTGCCTCACACTGATTTCCATAGTGGCCACACAAGTTTACATTCCCACCCACAGTGGACAAAGAGTTCCTTTTTCCCCTATATCCTCACGGCCACTGGTCATTTGTTTTCTTGATGCTGGACATTCTGGCTGAGACAAGATTAAACTCTCAAAGTAGTTTTAATTAGAATTTCTCTGATAGCTAAAGATGTTGGGCACCTTGTCAAGTATTATTTTGGCTATTTGTGTTTCTTCTTATTTTATTTAACTTAGAGTATGATATGCATCACTACATGCAAAATGTAGAGCCTCCCATGGGCGTATGTTCATAGAAGTAAATATTATCAATACATATGTTTCTTAAAGTGTTGTCTGGTGAGGTGGCTGAGCAGGTAAAGGTGATTGCTTCAAAGCCTACAACCTTAGTCCAGTCCCCAGGACCCACATAGTGGAATGAGAGAACCAACTCCCACAAAGATAGAAGATGGATGGATGGATGGATGGATGGATGGATGGATGGGCGGACGGACGGACTGACAGACAGACAGATAAAGAGAGACCATACCACTGGAGTAACTCAGAAATTCCCCAAGTTGAATATTAAGGCTGACAGATTCATGAATATCCTAATGCAACTTTTTCTTTTTCAAGACAGGGTTTCTCTGTGTAGCCCTAACTGTCCTGGAACTCACTCTGTAGACCAGCCTGGCCTCAAACTCAAGAGATCCTCCTGCCTCTGTCTCCCAAATGCTGGGATTAAAGGCATGTCTACCACTGGCCCTACTCCTAATGCAATTTCTAAGGAAAGAAGAATAAACTTGTATTTGAATGAAATGATACAAATATTTTTATGATGGTACCCGGTACATCACTGGTTCTTCCATGTTTCAGCTTCTGATAGAAGAAAAGTATCTTCCTTTGTCTGTGAGCCATCTTGAATGAGTAACAATTTGGTAAAGAGCGCTGTAAACAGAGTTGAAACGTTTAATCTTCTCTCACTACATTTCCCTCCAGGACGTAGAAAGGCTTATGAAATTTTCTTTCTTTTTTTTTTTCTTTTTTTCTTTTTTTTTTCCTTCGAGACAGGGTTTCTCTATGTAGTTTTGCGCCTTTTCTGGATCTCCCTCTGTAGACCAGGCTGGCCTCAAACTCACAGAGATCCACCTGGCTCTGCCTCTCGAGTGCTGGGATTAAAGGCGTGTGCTACCTCCGCCCAGTTTAATAAATTTTTATTTATTTACTATGTATACAGTATTCTGCCTGCATGTTTCCCTGCAAGCCAGAAGAGGGCACCAGATCTCATTACAGACGGTTGTGAGCCACCACGTGGTTGCTGGGAATTCAACTCAGGACCTCTGGAAGAGCAGTCAGTGTTCTTAACCACTGAGCTATCTCTCCAGCTTATGAAGTATTCTTAATTCCATTATGATTTACATAAGTTCCACAAGATTCCTTTCTCATTTTTAGAAGACATCATGGGAAACTGAATTATGGTGTTCAGACTTTGGCTGAAAATTCTCAGCTGAGAATGATGTCGTGATAGTTAATATTGATTATCAATATGACAATGTCCAGAATTATCTAGGAGACGAGCCATGGGCTGGGGCATCCCTATGAGGGATTATCTAGACTAAGGTAGCCTCTGGGCACCCTTGGGCAGCACCATTCCAGAGCCTGGCATTCTGGACTGAATAAAAAGGAGACAGGATGCTGAGCACCAGCATCCATTGCTCCCTGTTTGCTGACTGATACTGCAGCATGACCAGATGCTGCAAGCCCCTGCTGCCCGGACATTCCTGCCACGGTGCACTGTACACTCACACTGTTAGCCAAAGAAACCTCTTTCTCTCTTAAGTTGTCTTTGTCAGGGTATTTTATTAAAGCAACAGAAAAGTAACTAATATGTGTTTATAGAATCAAGCTCTGAACAGAGTTGAGGGTCCATAGTGGACTTGACACAGCCCTTGTGGTAAATCCATCCTTGAACCTGGTGTACCACATTGCAGTCCTCAGGATAAGAATGGGTGATCACCTCTTGCTCAGCCCAGGAGCCCCTGACAATCTCAAGGGAAGAAGAAAACAAAAGTCCAGTAGGCAGTGTAGATAATGAAGGTGAGTGAGCTCTTGTGTTGTCCTTGTGAGAAGGGTAAAGGGACAACGATGTAGGGGACAGGGTTTGGAAGAAACAGTTTCCCTCACGGGAACCGCTGGACCAGTGTGTGTCAATCACTGGTTTCTAAAAGCAGAAGACTGGAGCAATGGCACAAGAGAAACCCCTGGCAGAAGTAATCTTTGCTCCATTATCACAGGAAAACCCCACGCTTGCTGGAGATGAGGAGAGATGAGATGCAAACAGATGCCGCCCTGCCCCTGTTCTGCATGAGACGACAAGGTGCACCTTTACCTGAGGGATGGAAGTAAGCAGGCAGCACCTGTATTCAGAGAGTCTCCCTGAGTTTTCCCCCAACACCTTCAAGGGGCCTCCCTTTGCTCTGTATAAACATTGCATTTGAATCTCTTGGCTAATGTCACTAGTGGAAAGTGTATAACAACTTGGCTTTCCAACCGACATATCCTTAGAAATCTAATAATATTCTTTGCAGAAAAGCTCCAGCGAAGAAGACCAAAATTGCTGGCAAGTACTGCTTGCTGAAAATATATATAAATAATCAAAGCAAATGTAATGTGTCAGACAAATGTTCTAAGCAGGGACCACACAGTGGGTATATTGGCAAATCTGATGTTTCAACAGAAAAGCACAGCCTATCCACTGGTCCCTCCCCAGACTTGTCTATGGTCTTGGTTCTGTTTTCTGCCTCTCTGTAAACCAATTATTTTCTGCCTTGCGTATTTTCAATCCTTGCCAAATTCTCAACCCCTCTGCTTTCTCCTGATATTTGCTTATAAATCTCCAATTGAGTTTCTACTTTTTCTCACACTTTCTTGACTTGGGGTCACTGAGGATTGGAGACTGAAACCCGTCTGTTCAGGTTCCCATCAGAACTCTGAAGGAAGTGTCCCACCTTGGCTCCAAGAAATAGTCAGGCCTTGGCTAGTGACACCCATATCATCAACCTAAGACCTGTCATTGCCAACCAAGAAATGCACTGATGAAGATCTTCTGCCATCTTCCTTCACCACCCAGAGATGATCTGAGGGGCCTCCATCTGGAAGCCATCCTCACTAGCTATCATGTTGTCTCAGATTTGGATTCCACCATTAAACTTGACTTTCACTTTGATTTTCATAAAAATTCTCCTCCCTATATATCTGACTAGTCATGAAGCCAACAAATACCCTCTTCTACCAGGTCTCAAAAGGTGGATTAATAGTTGCTTAATGAAGAAGGAGGAGGAGGAGAAGGAGGAGGAGGAGAAGAGGAAGAGGAAGAGGAGAAGGAGAAGGAGAAGGAGAAGGAGAAGGAGAAGGAGAAGGAGAAGGAGAAGAAGAAGAAGAAGAAGAAGAAGAAGAAGAAGAAGAAGAAGAAGAAGAAGAAGAAGAAGAAGAAGAAGAAGAAGCAGCTGGATCTTGTGGCATGGACTTGCAATTAATTCCTCTGGAAGTTGAAGCAGAAAGATTATAAACTGAAGATAACCAGGTGTGGTATCGCACACCTTTACTCCCAGCACTCAGGAGGCAGAGGCAGGCAGATCTCTGAGTTCAAGGCCAGCCTGGTCTACAAAGAGAGTTCCAGGACAGCCAGGGTTACACAGAGAAACTCTGTCTGTAAACCAACCAAACAACCAAACAAAAGAACCTCAAGATATGTATGGGCTGAAGAATGAGTTCAAGGCCAGATTGGGCAAACTTACTGAGACTATTTCTCAAGATAAAAAGTAAAAAGTGAGTCAGGCATGATTATAGGTATAAATAATCTCAGAACTTGGGAGATGGAGGAAGAATTGCGAGTTGAAGGCCAGCCTTGGCTATAGAGTAATTTCAAGGTCAATCCAAGCTACATATTTCAAATCACTAACTTAATTGTCTTATTTAGGGTTTCTATTCCCATGATGAGACACCATGACCACAGCAACTCTTATAAGGAAAACATTTAATTGAGGTGGCAGCTAACAGTTTCAGAGGTTTAGTCCATTACCATCATGGTGGAGCATGGCAGCTTGCAGGCAAACATGGCGCTGGAGAGGTAGCTGAGAGTTCTCTATCTTGTTCAGGCAACAGAAAGTGATCTGAGACACTGGGCGGTATCTTGAGCATATATGAGACCTCAAAGCCTACCCCCACAATGACACACTTCCTCCAACAAGACCATAGCCCCTAATAGTGCCACTCCCTTTGAGGGGCCATTTTCCTTCAAACCACCACACTAACTAAATAACTAGGGGCTGGACAGATAACTCAGTGAGTGAAAGCACTGATTGCTCTTCTACAGGACGTGGATTTAGATCCCAGCACTCAATTGGAAGCTAACAACCATCGGTAAACTCCAGTTCTAGGGGATCTGGTGCTCTCTTCTGGTTTCTGCAGATGGTGCAGACATACAAGCAGGCAAAACACCCGTACATATAGTTGTTTCAACTTTAAAAATAAATAAATAGTTAAAAGATGGCTGGGGATATAACTCAGTGGTAAAGCAACAGGCTACCATGTATGTTGCCTAAGGTTTAATCTCTAGTGTAACAAAGCAAACACAAAGTAACAACAACAACAACACCCCCATTTCTTTGGAACAAGATCAAAGAATGCCTAAGACTTTCTTCTGGACCAGGTTTTATTTCCTGTCTCAGTGACTTTTCTAATATTGTGACAAAACACCAGACTGAAGCAATTTAAGGAAGGAAGGTTTTATTTGGGGTCACCGTTCTGGGGTATAGTCCCTGACAGTGAGGAAGTCAAGGCAGGAGCATGGCAGCTGGTCACATTACATCTGCGTTCAGGAAGCAGCGATGAATTCAAGTGCTCAGCTTGCTTTCTTCTTATTACTCAGTCCAGGACCCCAGCCCATGGCATGGTGCTGTCCACACCGAGGGTGGGTCCTCCCACTTTTATTAACCCGATTTATAGACTCTCTTACAAAGGTGTGTGTCTCCTAGGCGATTCTAGATTCTGTCAAGTTGACATTCAATATAACTATCATTCAGGGTTCAAAGCAACAAGCCTAGCAGGCTGGCATTTTATCCTGAGCAAAAGGGAACTAAGAGGGAGGTTAGGAAAGTGACTGCAGAGTCCAGTTGGGAGTGAGCAGCAGTCTGACTTAGGGTAGATTTCCAAGGTGGAACTGACAGGACCCGCCAAAAGATTACCCGGGAGTCTTCCTAGTCAGCTGACGCTAGAGACATGCTCTCTTGTTCAGCACAGCCACTTTCTTTCTACTCAGACCGGGCAGCTAGGACCTGCACAGTGTTCGCTGAGCTCAGAACTGACCCTGTCAACCTCAAACCATCCTATCTTCTGGCCTCCAGGAGAGAACTTTGGTTGGTTTCTCTTCCGTCAGGATGAACTGTTGTTCTTCCTCTTCCTGCAACAGTTCCCTGTTTCCAGGAATGTACTGCTCTCCTTGCTGGTCTCTGGAACTGAGGAAGTCAACAATAGTTCTGCCTTTGAGATTAACCTACATGCCAAATGACACCCTATCACCCCTCTGCCTTTCATTTTTTTACTTCAGGGTGGTCATTCCCAGCCCGTGCTCTGAAAATGGCACCCTGACCCTTCTCTGCTCCAAGCTGCCTCTCAGCATGATCAGCCCAACTTTCCTTAGAGTTTTGATTCAACTGAGGTGCTGAAGGTTCTCAAGGTTTCCCTGTCATCCCTGCTTCCTGTTGGCATAAAGATCTCCCAGCACTTGCCAATAGACACTGTGGCCAAATAAGACACGTTTCATACTTTTTTTTTAACCTGCCCTTCATTGAATTCTCACAATAATCATTTTAGTGATGTGTGCCTAGCTAAGCAAGTTCCTGGTAGGAGCCTTCATCAAATTCAAGACAGCTTTTCCAAGAGCCTGAAGAAGGTACTATGTCAGAAGGCATAACCAGAGTGAATTATTTGCGGGCATCATGGTGGGGGGTGGGGGAGGATCAGGGTTAGAGCATTGTGCATTTATTTATTCATGGCTTTCCGTCTCAGAGAATCTGCTCATCTGCATCTCAAGAAAGGAGGTTTGAAGTTCTGTCTTTCTGGATGGCGCACTATTTATCTGACTGGGTGATCCATTTCTGTGACCAGCCAGAGATCTTTCTAGCTCATTGAGAGTTTACATGGGGGTCGAGCTATAGGTGTCTCTAGCTGGAGGTCTGCATGTCAACTCAGGCAGGCATCTGTCTGAGGGCTTTGTCAAGGTAGGACTCTGGGGTGCACTTTCCAGTGAAGACCTCTATCTCATTAGCCCTTCAGCTCATGACTGATGGTCTGTCACTCTGGGGTTTGGTTCATCTGTCTTATTAGGTCCGAGGTCTATGTAGCTGGCTGCAGGTGTGTCTGCCAAGTGGCAGCCTGGGTATATCTGTCTGTTCTACTCAAGGCTGACTGTCTAGCTACACTCTGAACAATGGTGTTCAGTATGTTGGACAGGTCTTCTGCCTCCCCAGGGTCCATCTAGACAGAGTCTAATTTTTTGGGCCTCCATCTGTATTGCTGGAGATGTATATATATATTCATTTGGGAGGTTTGTTGGTTCATCTAGAGGATCATCATGTCTGACTAGTTGGGGTCCACTTGGCAGTCTGGCTAGCTTTCTGTCTATCTATCTAGCTTGGAATTTGGCTGGCAAATTTTGGCGTGGAATCTAGCTCTACCTGAAGGTAGTTATTCACCCGAAGGTCCCCCTATGGGTTCCTATCTAGATGAAGGCTGGAAGTTCATCAATCTGCTAGCTGGGATTCTGCCTGAGAATACGCCAGGTCAGCTTAGCTGTGCATGGTCTAGACACATCCCACTATCCAGACCATACATGCCCAGCTAGGGATGTATATCTGCCTCTCTGGCAGCTGTCTGACCAAAAGGAGCAATATCAATGTGTCCACCCAAATAGGAGCTCTATGTAGGAGAAACTCCATCTGTCTGGATAGTTGGGAGTTTAGCCATTCTGTCTATGGCTGGAAGCTCAGTCGGTCTTCCCAGTATAACTGGGATGTCTGTGTATTGTTCATCTGGAAATTGTTTATGACTGGAGTTCTGTCTAGCTAGGAGTCCATCTGGCTGTCTACCTGGCAGAATGAGGGTCTGACTTTTGGGGACTGGTGATCACTGGCTGGAACTGGTCTTAAAGGCTATTGGTTGTTTCATTTCTCTCTGGCTGAGGTCCATCTGTTTTGCCATAGACAACCCCTCTGAAGGTGTGGGTATTTAGGGATCTAGCTCTACGTCCAGATTTGGTGAGCCATATCTTTTCCTATCTGGAATCCCCCCCCTCCCCGTCTCTCTGTCTCTGTCTCTCATCTGCTTGTCTGGAGTCAGGTCCATTTGGCTGTAGCTAGGCTTGACTTGGATCTGTCTGAACAGCAAGAGGCCCAACTACCCATCCTCAGAGTCCATCTACCTCATCCCCCTGTGATCACTTGAGTGTCTGGGCAAAGGAGACCCCAGTACTGAGGATACACCTCTCATTCTGTGGAGAGGGGAGCTGCAATGCCCACTTTGGGTGATCTTTCTTAAATTTTCTCAGGTAGACCCACCGCCGGTGACCTCGCACTTACCTCTCCAAGTCTCGGGTTTGATTGCTATAATCACTGGGGCAAAGCCCTTATTTTTTTCCGCCCTGAGAAACTTTTATTTTGATGCAGACCCACAAGTCCCATTCCCAACACAGTGCACAGCAGCATGGTGGCTGCAGAAGTCCAGCCACCACTGAGAGACAGGCCGTAACTGGCACAGCACTCACACCCGTGTCCACTCCGCTGGAGGATCCCGTGGCCCTTTGGGTTTTCCAATGCGCAAGTTGAAGCCTGAGAGAAGAAGGGCGCCATGCAGAAGCGGAGGCGTGAAAAGGAAACCTCTCCCAGACCACCACCACCAGCACCCCCTCCCCGTGGGCGCGCCCCTAGGTCCTGGTATTGAAGGAGAGCCTGAGTCCCGCACTCCAGTCCAAACTCCCAAACTCCTGGGGCTCTCCAAAGCTGCACCCTAGGTTCTAACTGACTTACCTAGACCACCACTCTGCGCTCCATCTATTACTTCTTCATAGGCATCAGGCCCGGGAGGGTTTTGATCCGCAGGAACTGCAGGCGGGAGAACCCCCACGGGTCAACTCGTGCAGCCTTCTCGAGTCCCAGGGACGCCACCTAGAGCGCAGCCACAGACTTCCCTTCCCGAGGTAGCGGGTTGGAGGCGGAGCCATGGGCGTGGCCAAGTCCGGAGGTCTGTCTTTGGGGCCCGACTTAGACAACCCAACCTCTCAACCGAGATCTGACCTGGGGTTCATTTTGGGGCTTGAACCCCGGCCGTCAGGATCCCGGGGACGCGGCTAGACTAGATTGGGAGCTGACCTCCGCGTGGCCGCTTAGACCCCCACCCCACCCCACCTCACCCCGAGCCTTAGTAGGGTGGGGAACGCGCAAACAGGTGCGCGCAGGTCGCCTGCGGCCGCGCATCCCGGGCGGGCCCCGACTCACCATGGCCCAGTGGCGTCGTCCCCCTGGCGTCCTCGGTGTGTGTCATCGGCCGCTGGGAACGCGGAGCCACGTGGCTGTAGAGCGTGGTGTCCGCGCTGCTGGGCACCCGCGTCCCCGGCCCTGTGCCCGCGGGGGCGCCACGCTTCTGCACCACAGCGTACGTGTACGTGTCGGCCATGGGAAGGGTCGGGGGCCCGGGCACCGAGATGCTCCTGCAGCAAGCAGCAAGCAGAGGAAGTGAAACCGCCGAGTACAGGGAGAGCAGGGGAGGGAGCAAGCTCACCCCAGGGTGCGGGCTTCCTTCCTGCCTGCTTGCCCCAGTCCCCAGCGCAGGAAAGGAGGGAAGGGGCGGGCCACCCGAGGGCTGAAACCGGGGTTCCGTGTCCCTAGTACCCCTACAGCAGGGGGGACAGATTGGCAAGTGGAACTAATGAAGACTCATGTAAAGCCAAACTTGGTCGTGTGTGTCTGTAACCCCAGAACCCCTACGTGAGATGGGAGACAGAGACAGGTGAATCTCCCAAAAGCCTGATGTACACAGCGAGACTAGACTGTCTCAGAACATGTGGAAGGTGAGGACCCATACCCAAGGTTGTCCTCTGACCTCTCAGAGTTTACACACACACACACACACACACACACACACACACACACACACACACACACACAGAGAGAGAGAGAGAGAGAGAGAGAGAGAGAGAGAGAGAGAGAGAGAGAGAGAGAGAGAGAATCTAAAAAAATATATTTGCCTAGTTAATTACCGTCTGGAAGAGCAAGGGGAAGGCTAACCCAGAATGTTAGCAGTCCAGAGGAAGAGTGAGCTGTGAGCGGGTCAGCCAGTACCTGAGAACCCCACCTGGTGGGCGGGATGAGGCGGGCAGGGCTGGGGAGGTCCTGAGGGACGAGGCATCCTTGCAGATTGGGGCACAGTTCTGCGGGGAAAGCAGGCGGGGAGGGTCGTGAGGCCATGCCCCTTATGATGGTCACTGTGGGTGCTGAGTTAAGGGGACAGCCTGAGGAAGGGGTCCCGAGGAGGCAAAGGCGCCTTTCACAGTGAGTCAGCTGCTGTTCCCAGGAGGAGTATAAAAGTGGATGACTGACAAAAAAGAGTCGAGTTGGGGGTTCTGTACCTCCTTGAGATTCTGATGGTGGGGGCTGGTGTTCTGGAGAGTACGGGAGAAGAGCTGGGCCACTGTGTGGTACAGGAACCTGTACTGCTCCTGTTGGGGCGAGTGGTCACTGAGAAGGTTAAATGGTGAAATACCAGCGTCTCCCCATGTCCCCGGGAAATGGGAAGACAGGCCGAGCACACACCTCCGTCTGCACTGCGGCAGGCCGCTGTTTCCGCATCTCAAGGACCACATCGAAGAGGCTGAAATTGGGTGGGATTGTCTGGGACAGAGAAGGGGGAGTGTGAACAGGACCTGGTAGGCAGGCATTGGGGCGGGCACACTGCACACGGAGAAGACGGCGCCATACCTGGGTCAGCAGCAACTGTCTCACGTAATCCACAGCACACAGGACACCGGTTCGTCCGCACCCAGCACTGACAAGCAAGAATCAGAGCAGGCTCCATCATGGCGTGCTCACAATGACCCCTTCCCCGTTATTTCGTTCTTGCCCTCCTCCCCTTCCCAAAGGTCTTGCTGTGTTGCCCAGGCTGGCCTAGACCTCTTGATCCTCTGACCTCAGCTTCCTAAGCATTGAGATGTCAGACCTGCCTAACCGTACAGATGCCACAACCCCTCTTCTACGTGGAGAATTCGGGGCTGAGCTGAGGGAGATCCCCTGCAGTCTCTCTTAAATTGCAGGATCCCTAGATTATACTTTCAAATAAAGCCTTTTTGTTTATATATATATATATATACTAGCATGCACCCGTGTGTGTGTGTGTGTGTGTGTGTGTGTGTGTGTGTGTGTGTGTGTGACAGTGTGGAGACCAGAGATCAACATTACATTTGAGACAGGGTCTCTTACTAAACTGGGTACTCACAGATTGGCTTGACTAGCTGGTTAGCAAGTCCCAAGGGTCCACTTGTCTACCCCTCACCCAGCCCTGGGGTTACAGGGGCAAGCCACCCATCCTGGCTTTTCCTGGGTGCTAGAGATCTGAACTCAAGTTCATGTACAGCAAGTACCTTACCCACTGAGCTATTTCTTCTAAAACCTTTTTCATTCACTTAGACTTGCGAAGTACCAGTTAGTTATATGCTTACTCCCCAGTCGGCAGTCTGTGCTCAACAAATGCTAACGATTCCAGCTCACTGTGTCATGAACATACGGCCAGAAGTTTCTCAAAAGAGGCAACTGAAAAGGGAGGCTGGTTCCAAACCATAACCTCTCTCCCTGGCTTTTCTGTCTCACCCTCACCAGATCCCCATAAAGCCTGTTCCCTAAACCTGCAGTGGACACAGAGGGGTCCAGGGCCAGCTCCTCGGAGGCGATGGGCCTCCTCCACCATGGTGAGAATGTGATCGGGATTGCTGGGAACCCCGTGGTCTGGCCAGGACATATACTGTAGCTGGTGCACAGAGCGGGATTCCTGAGACAGGGAAACAGAATAGAAAAGCATACATTTATCGAGCACTGATTACAGTTCTAAACATATCCCATTTAAATCCACCAGATAAGGCTTAGTGGAAGAGCACTTTCATAGCATGCACAAGGCTGTGGGCTCCATCCCCAGCACCACAAAGAAATACAAGCCCACTGCATCATAACTGAGGGGGATGAAAACTGATCACTGTCCCGAGTGTCCCATTTTACAGAGGTGGAAACAGCTCCTCCCACGCAAAAGTCCCTTCACCTTTTGCCTTCTCAGTACCTTCTGGAATGTAACCTGGAGGGTCCTGAGAACGATGTCTGCATTCACTGGTGTCTCCTTCGTCTGAGCATGTGAGAAGAGGAAAGAGAAAACAGAAGAGAAACAGAGATCTTCAGTGACACATTTCATATTTCTAGAAAGCAAAGGTTTGGGTTTTGTTTTTTGTTTTGAGACAGGTCTTGCTGTAGAGCCCAGGCTGGCCTCAAACATGAGATCCTCCTGCCTCGGTTTCCCATGTGCTGGCAGGGCAGGTGTGTGCTACCATGCCTGATGGAAGCAAAGCATTTTGATAAAAATCAAATACTAAAAAAACATTTTTAAGATTCTTTGGCCTGTGGTGCTGTTCTTACATTCCTGGGATCACAGACTTACTTCCCATGTGGCTGAGCGACAATCGAGCTTTCTGGGCATGTCTTACAGTTCAGACTCTGTTAGACTAGCTTACATAGTGTGTCCTTGTCACAATCCCCAATCCTCAGCGTACTTATATTTTCTTGCTTCCTTGTACATTCTCATTACATAGTATTTTCCTTCAGAAGAATACCTTTAAATGGTTTCACAGTCAGCTGGGCAGTGGTGGTTGGTGCACTCCTTTAATTAGGAAGAAGAGGCAGGTGGATTTCTGTGAATCTGAGGCCAGCCTGGTTTACAGAGCTAATTTCAGAATGGCCAAGACTACATAGAGAAACTCTGTCTCAAAAAAAAAAAATTGTTTTCACATACATTGATGATACAGCCATATATTTTTAATTCAAATGAATTCCTGTACTGATAATATTTTTAGATTTTCCTTTGGTCCAATCTTCTCCCAAAGCTTTCAAGGAAACTTTTGTCAGAACAGGGAAAGAGGAAGAACTATACAAACCAAATTAATCCCTTTGCAGTGAACACAGAGAATTTTATTGTTCTGAAATACAATGGTCCACTGCATCTGTTAATGGTTAACTATCTGTAGTTATTTCCTCCAGTGCTCTGGGCATGGTAAAGAAATATGAGTTGCAGAAACCTGAACAGGTACAATTTGGTTACAGAGGTAACAGTAATCATAGTCAAAAGTACTAGGGCCTGGGAAGAACACTTACCCAGCATGTGTGAAGCCCTTGATTCTCTTTCCAGCAAAACACACACACACACACACACACACACACACACACACACACACACACACACGTGAAAATAAATTTTAAAAACTTTAAATTGCGTTCTGACGATCTGCATGACAACCCAGAGAATTCTGAGTTTTCCAAGATGTAAGGGAGCTGTGAGAAAATGACTCATCCTTCCAGGTCCAGTCCAAGGCTTCTCCTTCAACACATCTTCCTTGAGATCTCCCACACTATCCGAGGCCTGCAGAAGCCACCTTGTTCCCATCCCTGCCCCCGCTTACCAAAGTGATGCAGAAGGGCCCGGTCTGCAGTGGCTCCTGATCCTGGGCCCAGTAACGTTCACACTTCTTCTGCAGAGTGAGGGAGGAAAGGCAAGAGTGAATGGGGGAGGTCCCTTCCAGAGTGCCAGGACTCCCAAGTGCGACACATGGAAGGGCCAGCAGCTGTGGCTGGAATGGAGGCCAGCTGCAGAGAACGACATTAAACACATGCACACTCCACAGAAGCAAGCTTTTTTATTTTATTTATTTATTTATTCATTCATTCATTCATTCATTCATTCATTCATTCATTCATTTTGAGACAGGGTTTCTCTGTGTAGTCCTGGCTGTCCTGGAACTCTCTTTGTAGATCAGGCTGGCCTCGAACTCACAGAAATCCACGTGCCTCTGAGGGGCAAGCTTTTGATTATGCTGGGGGGGAGGTAGTTCAGGACATCCTCCTACTGCCCGGAGTTAGAACTAAGTGCATGACCTGCAGCATCTCGTTACAGACACGTGCACTGCAGGGCGTGGTCACTAAGTGGACCACCTGGCCTACTGCCTCGACCTGTCACCGAGCAGGAACTAAGGAGCTCCATGATTCCAACGCGCTAAAGAAGCACAGTTCGTGGCCCAGAGAGGGCAACAAAGAATTCTCAGGGAAGAGAGAGCTGTGCAAACAGAAACCAGGGAAACAGAAAGGGCCGGACAATAAAATATCCAAAGGAGACTTGGCCACCTTCCTAGAAAAGTAAACCACTTGATACACTCTTTAATGAAAGTCAACACAATCTAGCCTGAACTATGGACACTTAAACCATCCAGCATCCAATAAGAATGTCCCTGACATACAAAGGTGTAGTAACACGTGACTTGTTACCAGGGGAATAAATGATCAGGGAGTAGAAAAAGATCCAGAAGAGACAGAGGAAAGAGGCAAAGACCTCAAAAGAGCAATATAAATAGTCAAAATGGAAACACAAATGTAACAAAGGATGAAGCATAAGATGCAAAACCAGCCCTAAACAGAATTCTAAAACACCTGAAATTCACTCATAGCAGGTTAAACTCCGGAAGAAAGAAAAGCCGTGAGCATGAAGATACTGCATCAGAAACAAAGCAATGAGAGAAGACAGGAGAACAAGAGAATCGGGCCTTTGTGGGGCACACCACGTGGCACTGGAGCCCAGAAGAGGAGAGATGGAGAGAACAGAAAAACACTTTCAATTAAAATTTCTTTTAATTTATTATCTTATGTGTATGGGTGTTTTACCTACATGTATGTCTGGACACTAGGTGCATGCCTGGTGCCTGAGGCCAGAAGAGGGCATTGGCTCTCTTGAAACTGGAGTTACAAATCGTTGTGAACCCACATGTCAGTTCTGGGGATTGAACTCGGGTCCTCTGGAAGGACAGCCAGTGCTCTTAACCACTGAGCCGTCTCTCTAGTTCCAGAGAGAAGGGAAATCATACTTGAAGAAATAAAAGCTGCAAGTTCCCCAAAGCTGATGAAACTAGAGATTAATAAAGTCAGTAATCTGCACTGAGGGGGAAATTCATAAGAAGACAATGTTGAAGCACACCACGACCCACCTGATCAAAAAAGGAAAAACAATAATAATAATAATAATAAAGAGAAAAAAATCTTAAAAGCAAAACACAATTTCTTTCAGAAACTCTGTCAGCCAGAAGGCAGTCATGTGATATCCTGAGAATACTGGAATTAAAAGAGAAACGTTGGGCTAGAAAACTGGAGTTATTCCCCAGGTCCCACATGGCCAGAGCAGAGAAGTGACTCTTGGGCAGTTATTCTCTGACTCATACCCCCCCAAAATAAATTAATAAAATAGAAACCTTGTCACACAAAAATTAGACAAATTCATTGCAAGCAAATCTGTAAGAAGCGTCTCATATGAATGGAACAGGACACCAGATGAAGCTTGAATCTACAGAAAACAGTAAGGAACAAAGGCAAAAGCAGATATGTGGTTACACTAAAACAGTTCTCACATTTGCCTCCTGTAAAAAGACAATCTAGCCCTGAGGTGGTGACGCATGCCTTTAATCCCAGCACTCAGGAAGCAGAGCCAGGCGGATCTCTGTAAGTTCAAGGCCCGCCTGGTCTACAAAGCGAGATCCACGACAGGCACCAAAGCTGCACAGGGAAACCCTGTCTAGAAAAAAAACAAAATAATAATAATAATAATCTAGTTACATTTATTGAACAAATAAGGCAGAATTAATACCAACCCTTCACACATCCTTGGGAAAAAAGCTAAAGGCGCATGAACATGACTCAGCACACTAAAGTCAATTATGGTCCTACCCAAACCAGAGATCACAAAACAAAGTATCCACCAATGTCTCATGAACTTAGAGCCCAAATTCTCAAGAAAATACTAGCCAAGTATTATATGCCATGACCAAGCAGGATTAACCCTAGGAATGCAAGGTGTTTTTGACAAAGAAATTCCATCAGAGCTGGGGAGATGGTTTTGGGGGGTGATTTAGCACTTGCTGCGCAAGTGTGGATACCTGAGTTTGGATCCCAGGAACCCATGAAATGCTGCACACAGCTGAGTATGTTTATGATTCTAGCACTCTTTCAGGACAGGAGGCAATGTCTCTGAAAGCCTGCAGGTTAGGAGCAAAACAAGAGACCCTGTTTCCAACAAGGTGGGGGGCAAAGTACAACACCAGAGGTTGTCCTGTGACCTTCACACTCACGCTATGGCACGAGCACACACGTACACACGTACACACACACACACACACACACAGAGAGAGAGAGAGAGAGAGAGAGAGAGAGAGAGAATTAAAAACAACCCATTGGTGTCAGGTATCATATTAATAGATAATATCATATTAATAGATAATAATAAAGCAAAAATACAGGGTCATATGAATAGATGAAGGGGGAAAAAACTTGACAAATCAGCATAGCTTCATGATAAAAACATGAAGAGAATTAGGAGTAGAAAGGAATTCCTCAACAATGCCCAGAGCATCTACGAACTCCACAGAAATGCCTGTGGTGAAATTTGGAAGCCTGGGATGGGACAGAAGCCTGTGAGTTCCACCCCCACCCCAGCCTGCGGCAACACAACTGGGGAAAAGAGAGAATCTGAGTGTGGAGAGGGAGGAAGGGAGATGAGGAAGTGACGGAGGGGGGCAGGGAGGGCAAGGGGGATGTCAGCACACAGCCTGGGAAGGAAGAAACGAAGCTTTGATTATTATATATGGCATGACTCGTTCCTATGGAGAAACTCCTAAAGAATGTGTACCACACACACTAGGCGAATAAGCTCAGCTAGGTTGCTGGAAAAGATCAACGTAGGAATATCAGTTTTGTATCATTACTCAGTATAAACTGTTCGGAGTGCATAAATTAAAACAATCCTGTAACATCAAGTATAAAATATATGACATAAATTTTCAAAACTGTAGTTTTTGTTTTGTTTTGTTTTATTTTTGTGACAGGGTCTCAACTATATAGTCTTGGGTGACTGGAACTCACTGTGTAGATCAGGCTGGCCTAGGACTCACAGAGATTCATTCACCTGCCTCTGCCTCCCTAGGGATTAAAGGCATGCGCCACCCTGCCTGGCAAGTACCATCTTTTTCACTAACCCCTACAAGGCATTTGCTGAAAGAAGAGGTCAATGCAGGTAAGTGGAAAGGCGTCTATGTTCACGGAGTAGACGACAATGTTGTAAAGATGGCGGCGCGGTCCAAACACACAGCCGTGGTGCAGTCAGTCCCTGAGAAAATCCCAGCAGTTTAAAGTATTTTATTATGATGTGCATGTCTGATGGGGCGGGGCATGAGTGCTAAGGCACCCACGTGGAGGTCAGAGGACAACTTTGTGGAGTCAGTTCTCTCCTTCCACCTTTACACAGGTTCCAGGGATCAAACTCAGGTTGTCAGGGTTTTGTGACAAGTGTTTTGCCACTGAACCGTCTCTCTGGCCCCTGGCAGATTTTTGATGTTCCTGAAAAGGTAATCTTAAGATGAACATAGAAGTGTAGGTGTGGGAGGCTATGGAAGAGCAGCTCTGGTGTTGAGAGTTTACTGGGACAGACGGGACTCAGCACACCGTCGTCCTCACGGGCACGACTTGGTCCAGTGAAAGGACACAGAATGAATTCAGCACAGGGAACAGGGATGCGGCTCAAAGCTGCTCGCCCAGGGCAGTTCCCAGGATGAACTTCATTACCCCAGCAATGAGTTGTGGCAGAAATGATGACACGTCAACACAGTGAAGCTTGACAGGGAGTCGGTTCCCTGGGAATTTTACTGGGGACTTGTCAATAGCGTACATATGCTAGGCGTCGTGAGCCTTCCTTACACAAAAGCCTCAGAATTCATCCAAGAGCCAGGTTCAAAGGAAGGCCTTTCTAAACGTGAGCACTATGCTGGCCTTGTTCACTGTTTTACACAAGGTCCATAGCCAAAGCCATCTTCTAGAACAGACAAATTCAGGGATAGGGAGATAGTTCAGAGAGGAAAATGCCAATAGGATCCCTGGGCTCACTGGCCAACCAGTCTAGCCAAAGCAGGGAGCTCCAGATTCAGTGAGAGACCCTGTCCCAAAATAAGGCAGAGAACAATAGAGGAATATGCCTGAGGTCATCTCTGGCCTCCGCACACATGCCCACACATATGCACACATACCCTCCCATCCCCATGCATGCACATAAACCACACAGCACACCCATACAAACAGAGATAGGACAAATCAGAGGACCCACTTCCTTACTGGAAGCTTACAGGGCTATGGATGTAGTCCAGGAGTAGAGACAGGACTTGCCTACTAAGGAAAAGGCTCTGGGGTTTGATGCCCAGCACTGAAAAAAAAAAATCTCAAAACTTGCTACAACAGTACAGTAATCACAACCTTGTTTTGCTAACACAAAGACAGACTAATAGATCAATGGAAGAATTTGAGAGCTCAGAAGTAAGTCCTTATAATCACTTTATTTTTCAATAAAGATGTTGTGGGAGTAATGGAGAAGGCATGGTCTTCACCAATAACACGGAAATAACTGAATACATATGAAAGAACTTTGGATTCCTTTCTTATTCTGTATACAGAAAAATTAATTCAAAAGAATAAGAAATCTAAATGTCAGATAGAAAGCTATGAAACACTTAGAAAATGCAGAAGTAGATCTTTATGCCTTCGACAGTGACTTCCTAGACATGAAAGCAAAACCACTAGCAGAATGACAAATGAGAACCCAAACATGTAAAGCATATCTGTGCCTCAAGGGTCACCGTTGAGAAAGGAAATGACAATCCATTTCCTCCTCTGACGGGAGAGACACTTTGTCAATCATATGCTGATAAGCACTTGTATCCAGAACTCCTTCAACTTAGTAATAAAGACAATAGCCCGGTTTTAAAATGGGACCTGAATAGATGTCTGTCCAGAGAAGACACACAAATGGAGAAATAAACATGAAAAACGAAACCCAAATGAGTGGTTTTCTCTTTTAAAGATTTATTTTTGCCAGGTGGTGGTGGCACATGCCTTCAATTCCAGCACTAAGGAAACAGGGGCAGGTTGATTTCTGAGTTCAAGGCCAGCCTGGTCTAAAGAGTGAGTTCCAGGACAGTTAGGGCTACACAGAGAAAACCTGTCTCAAAAAAAAAAAACCATTCATTTTTATTATTTTTAATTGGGGAGGTCACGTGCATGTAAATGGGGGTACCTTCAGAGACCAGGATTGTCCGGTGCCCTGGAGCTGGAGTTATAAGTAGCTGTGAGCCACTTGGTGTTGGTGCTAAGAGCCAAATTCAGGTCCTCTGCAACAGCAGAGTGCACTGGTAAGCACTGAACCATCTCTCTCTCCCCGGGAGTGGTTTCCTTAACGAGTGGGAAGTACAACCTAACAACCGTTGAGCTGGGGAGATGGTTCGTGGGTAAGAGCGGTTGCTGAACAAGAATGAGGATCTGAATTCAAACCCCCAGCACATGCATGGAAGGACAGGGCTGCACCTATAACCGCAGCACTGTAAGGGCAGAGGCAGGAGGATCGCTGGGACTTTGCCAGCAGCCTAGCTCCAGGCTAAGTGGAAGACCCTGTCTCTAGGGAAAAGGGCAGAAAGTTGATAAAGTAGGATAGCTGACATCCTCCTCTGGCCTCTGTATGTGTGTGCAAGAGCACACCACACCACACACACATGCACACCCAAACACACATACATGTGCACACACATGTACAAGCATATGCACGCACACAAAATAGCAAGTATTGGTGAACACATGGATAAACTGAAACCCCCAGCTGGTGGAATCATTAAAGGTATAGCCACTGTGGAAAACAAACAAACAAACAAACAGCAATTCTACTGCAGATTTATATTCAAAGAATTGAAAAACAAAACAGAGGTGCTAGAGAGATAGCTCAGCAATTACAGGTGCTTGCTGAACAGCCACAAACACTGGAGTTCAGATCCCTGCACCCATATAACAGGCCAGGCGCCCTCTGTATACCTGCAGCCCCAGCTCAGAGGCGGGAAGGGACAGGAAGATCTCTGGTGTTTGCTGGCTTCTAGGCTAGCTAAGAAAATCCAAGCACAGAGTTCAGGGAGAGATTCTGCCTCAAAAGGAGTAAGAGAGCCAGGCAGAGTGTCACAAGCCTTTAAATCTAGCAATGTAGCAGGAGCAAGGGGCAGGGATAGGTGGATCTCTGTGAGTTCGAGACCAACCTTGTCTATGCGTTGAGTTCCAGGCCAGCCAGGGTGACATAGTGAGATGTATGCACACAGGTGCACACATCCATAACCACACGTGTGTGTACACTGACACACAGACACAAGTACACACACTGACACACACACACGAAGTAAAACAAAAACCTAAATCAAACATAACTGTTTACCAGTGTGTGCAAGCAGCATTATCCATAGTAGTCTAAAAGGTAGAAGCAGCCCAAATGTCTACCAGCACATGAATGGGTGAAGGAAATATGACACAAAGCAATGGCACAGTCAGTCTGAAAAAAATAAAATTCGCCGGGCGGTGGTGGCGCACGCCTTTAATCCCAGCACTCGGGAGGCAGAGCCAGGCGGATCTCTGTGAGTTCGAGGCCAGCCTGGGCTACCAAGTGGGTCCCAGGAAAGGCGCAAAGCAGCACAGAGAAACCCTGTCTCGAAAAACCAAAAATAAATAAATAAATAAAATTCTGATACATGTGACAACATGGACACACCTTGAAAACACCAAGTAAAATAAACCAGAAACAGAAGGACACTTATTTTATAATCCCGTTTACATGATGTAAGTAAAACAGGCAATTCATGGAGACAGAACACAGGTGGCCAGGACCAGGGGCCTTATGCCTTTGTGTGTGTGTGTGTGTGTGTGTGTGTGTGTGTGTGTATGCTAAATGTGTGCGGGTGCCCAAGGAGGCCAGAAGAGGGCATCAGAACACTCTGGGACTAGAGGTACAGGCAGATGTAAGCAGAGTTCAGGTCCTCAACAAGTGCTCTTAACCTCCAAACATCTTTTCAGTCCTTTAAACGACAAATTTTATGTTTACATATATTTTTTATATGTTTTAAAAGACCCAATTAAAGACTCCTTCACATTCCCAACAATGGTTACAGAGAGAGAGAAACAGGGAAGAGGCAAGATGGCTCATCAGGCATAGGCACTTGTCATCGCCAGACTGATGACCCGGGTTCATTCCCAGGAACCCACATGGTGGAAAGAGAACCAGTCCCCAGAGTTGCCTCTAACCTCCACCCCCATTGCTCAGTAGGCACGTGCACATGTCCCCACACACAAGAAGTGCAATGTTTTAAAAAAAGAGAACAACAAATATTGGTGAGGATGTAACAAAACTGGAGTTGTCCCGCATATGGGTAGAAATGTAACCTGATGCAGCTACTATGGAAAACAGTTTGTCACTTCCTTAAAATAGAGTTAAAAATAGAGTTCCTCCGTGACCCAGCAATTCCATCCGATATACACTCAAGAAACGAAAGTTCATGTCCACTCAAAGGCCTGCATAGGAATGCTCATAGCAGTGTGATTCACTGAAACCGAAATATGGAAACAACCCAGCATCTACAAACTGCTTAGGGGAATGAAATGTAGAAACATCCAGTGGGGTACTATTCAGCAACAAAAAAGGAGTGAGCTGTGAACATGTCACCACGTGCAAGAACCAAAAACACAGAGAGAAGAAGCCAGTCACAAAAGGCACATCTGCACAATTCCATTTTCCGTGAAACACGCAGAGTAGGCAAATCTGCAGTCACCAAAAGCAGACCAGGGGTTGTCTGTGACTCTAAACATGAGGGGTGACTGCTAATGGGGTGATGAGAATGTCAGTGGTCCCTAAGTTGCCCAGGCTGGCCTCAAAAGTTTTCATCCTCTCACTTTGGCCTCCCAGGTCCCAGAAGCACAGGAGGGACCTGCTATGCCTGGCTAAAGAGGTGAACTGCATTCCAGTAAAAAGGCATTCAAAGGCAGAAACAATAGCTTGTGGAGTATAATCACACCATTGTGATGTGTAGTTCACATTTAGAATTACCCGGTGTGCTGAGGTGGGTAAGAACTGTTGAGGGAGATGAGAAACGGAAAAACACAGGATGGAGTCACAGGTGGGCGTGCTGGGGCGCAGGAAGCCATGTGAAGGTCCAGGGAACAGAATGAGCAACTGGAAAGTCTAAGGCAGAGGATGGCCATGGCACAGGCCCTCTCTGGCTCATCTGAGGAATGGCCAAGACCAGCGTAGGTAGAGGGGAGTGTGAAAAACAGCAAGGGGTACAGAAAGACCAGAGTGGAAACTGTCCAGTACAAGTCCTTGGCCATGTCGTGGGCTGGTGGAAAGCCCGGGCTGCCGGCACTGAGGGGACACCCCAGGATCAAAAAGAAAAGATCGAGGCAGAACTAGGACTAGTGGCTTCGGCAGAGCGACAATGGAGTCAGCCTGGGCAAAGGACTGGGCTCAGGGTCCTAGGGACAAGGAGGAGACCTCCTTGTCCTCCTCTCCCTCCCCACTACACAAGCCTTCCTTGCATTCTGCGGGGCTGGGGATACATACCCGTCCATTCTCTGTCTCTTGACAGGCCATCAGGATCACCTAGACGAGGGGGCAAGGGAGAGGGAGGCCATTGGTAAGGAGAAACAGGAAAGAGGGAGACTCAGAACCACGCCCCTCTGTCCCTGAAAGCTGACCTTGACCCCAAACTCCCAAACCAGGCGCCAGAAGTCCAACAGAGTGTGAGGCAGGGGTCCTTGTGTCGCGATGTAGGCCTGGCTTCCATCTGTGCCCTGGGAAAGGCCCGTTCATTAACAAGATTCTGAAGCCCACACTCCCCACCCCCGAGAGGCAACTCTTCCCTGGTCACTAGCCTGACCCGGATGAAGTTGGCATTGATGTAATCTCCGTGTCCCTCCTCCTGGAGCAAGGAAAGGATAACGCGCGTCTCATCATCTGCCAGTGGGTGAGACATATAGAGAGGTATGTGCCAAGTGTCTGACCACTTCCCCGGGCGAAAGCAAGCAGGGTAACAGAACGCCCCTTGTGGCTTCAGGGAGTAATGCAGCTGCCTCAAGTATGGGAAGTAGAATGCTTTTGGGGAGCTCTTGCCTGCCCCCCCCCTCCCGCCCGCAGTGGGTAGCCGCTGCCACCCGGGCACTGCCACCTAGCGTTTGTGCACGTGGCACCGACTCCCTAAAGATACCCACTGACTTACATGGCACCACGTCTTTGTAGCGGTTCTTCCTCGTGTTCCCAAGCCGACTGCCGACCTTCGTGGAGCACACACCTCCAGTCTTCCAGGCCAATGAGCGGGCCTTAATATCCTAGTAGAAGGCACCACGAGCCAAAGGCAGAGAAGAGGCAAGAGAGAAGAAGAAAGACGCCAGGTCAGAGTGTTGGGACGCTGAAACATGCCGAGAGTTCACCAGACCAGGACAGACTAGTGTAGACCCATCAGCACAAGGATCTGTGTAATAACATCCAGCAACAGCAAGTGAAAAACACGGCTCAGTGCTAGGTGACTCAGTCATCCAAAGTGGAAACTACCCACTGTTCCCATTGTGCAGACGAAAGCTGATGTAGGAAGTGGTGGAGCAAATCGCCAAAGGTCCCACAGGAGACTGACCTCTCAGACCTGCACACTCAACCCACGTTATACTGGACTATAATAATAATAAAATATGCATTATCTGGACCCAAAAGATTGCTCGGTGGGTAAAAGCACTTGGTGTTCGGGCCTGAAGATTTGCACTCCATCCCCAGATCCCACACCATAATAAGGAGTGAGAAGCAACACCGGAACGTTGTTCTCTGACCTCTACTTAGGTGCTGTGGCATGCACAGGACCCTCACCCCCAAACAAATGAAACCGAGGCGAGGGAGATGGCTCAGTGGGTAGAGGCACTTGCTACCAAGCCCGATGAGCTAAGTTCTATCACCAGGATTCATGAGGTAGAGGGAGAGAATCAACTCTCATAGTTGTGCACGCACACACACACACACACACACACACAATTTAAAAAAAAAAGTTCAAAATCATCCTTGGCTACATATTAAGTTCAAGACCTGCCTGAGCTACATGAGATACTGTGTCAAAAAAATTAAAGTGAGCATTGGAAAGATGGTTAAGTGGTTGAGTGCTTTCTGCTCTTGCAGAGGACAAAGTTTGGTTCCTAGCACCAGAACCGGCCAGCTCACAAAGGCCTGCAATTCCAGCTTCAGGGGATCCAACACCCTCTTCTGGTCTCTAAGAATCCCTGTGAGTGTGTGCATGCACAAACACACACACACACACACACACACCCCAAACAAAATTTTTAAATAAATGCTTTGTACAAGATACAACATGACAATACACCATATGTATGAGTTATAACATACAACATATAAGAAGATGCTACAGGTACTTTATAACTGGTACATTATTATAATTAGTGAAGAATATTACTCTTATTATCAGGTGTTCATAATTGCAATGATAATAAACGCCTATCAAGGTGCCATTGTGTTCGGGCCACCAGTCCAAAATGCTTGACTTATGTTGATCAGGTTATTCCAGCCCCCAGAGACACCTTCTTATAGTGGTGTCACTGTTGGAATTTCAATCAGAGGTAGGAAAATCAAAGCCCTGGAATGAGGGAGTGAGGGAGGGAAAGGGAGAGAGGGAGGGAGGGAGTGCAAGATTCTGCATGGAGATCTCAGAACTGCTCTCTTCATCAGCCTGAAAGATACACCACATACATATTTATGCACATTTTCATGTTTATAAACTATATATTTTAGGCCAGGTGGTGGTGGCACACGCTTTTAATCCCAGCACTCAGGAGGCAGAGGCAGGAGGATCTCTGTAAGTTTGAGGTCAGCCTGGTACACAGAGAAACTTTGTCTCAAAAAAAACCGCATATAACACTTACACATTTTTTGTGTTATAGTATTTTACATGTATAAATTATTTAGATTCACATTTAATTTACACATGTTTGTTCTGTATACTTACGAACTTAATAAATTTGGTTCTTATTAATGTTTGTTGTATGTATTGTGGTATTGTCATTCATTTTTTGTTTATTTGGTTATTTTTTTTGTCTTTTTTGAGACAGGGTCTTTCAACATAGCCCTGGCTGTCCTGGAGTTCTGTGTAAACCAGCCTGGCCACAAACTTACAGAGATCTGCCTGCCCCTGCCTCCTGAGTACTGGGATTAAAGGCGTGGGCCACCACAGTGTTGTATTGTTACTGGGTTACATAATGGTCTTTGTGTAAACTCTCTTTTCCTTTCTTGGAGACAGTCTCACTCTGTATTTCAGAGTGGCCTCAAACTCAGGCTGGCCTTGAACTCACGGTGATCCTCCTGTTTTAGGCTACCAGCTGCTGGGATTACAGGCATGTGCCACCATGCCAGGCTGTAAGTGGCCATTTAATGCCTGTTTTGTATATATTTATAATACATATTTCTAAGTTTGATACAGCGTGTTTACGTATTTGGATCATGTCACTGTGTTTAAAATACTTCATTACCTGTTACATGCCATGCTGAGTGCTATTCCCCTCTCACAAGTATGACTGACACTACCTGATGTAACATCTAGAAGTTTTGTAAGCCATGTTAAAGGCACCTATTCCGTGAGTATCCAACATGTGCTAAGAAGTGTTTCTACCAAAACCACCTAATTTCTCAGACCAACTTGGGTTTTAACATTCACATTTTCAAATCAGTTGAAATTGAGGTCAGACCTCCCAGGGCCACAGTTCTGAAAGGCCCTGGGCATAGACTCGAAACTGGAAACTCCGGAGCTCAAAGGCTAAGCTACAAAGCTTCCCTGTTCCTCTTTCTGCGGCCCCAAGCCACTTCCTCCCAGGGATTACAAGGTGACCTAGGAGTGGCCGGGGTCGGGGACTGGAGTCCAGCGCAGGTGTGCCGCCTCCTTCCCTAGCGGCAGCCACCGCCCTGCTAGGGAGAAGGGTCGCTCCGGGAGAGCGACACGGACGCCTGAGTGTGTCCCGCTCCTCCCAGACAGCGGTGTACTTCACCCTCGGGGCACCTGCGGGCAGAGTCAGAAAAGCTGAGGGAAAGTGTGAGAGCGCGACAGAAGTGCTGGGAGAGAAAACCAGAGAGTCGGAGGCGGCAGGAGACGCCCCGGGAACGGAGAGAAACAGGCAGAGCTTTCACGCTGCACAGGTGGACAGCGGTGGGGACAGCCTGGCTGCGAAGCTCGATCGCTGGAGTGTCACTCACGCTGAACTCGCGGGCAAGGATTGCTCCCTCCCGGCGGTCCCGGGCCTCCAGCTGCTCCAGGAAGCTCCGCACCAGATCCAAGTGGCGACTCATGCTGCGAGCCGCCTGCGAGGTCTCTGCACGCCGCGCTCCGACCCCCGAGAGTTTAGACACTGAGGGGCGGGGCCGCCGTCCCAGCAGCCAATGAAGGCCGGTAGTGGCTGGCAGGCCACGCCCCTCGACCAATTGCATTTAGGAGCTCACTCTGCTCCGCTCCGCCCCGCCCACAGGCGCGGGCTGCAGCCGCTGGAGCGCGTCCTGAGGCTGTGGGACTCGCAATTTCTCGATGTAGAGCGTCCTGTAGACGTTCTGCCGCTGTGAGACCCGCATTGCCCCGATGTAGGACGTCCTGTAGACGGTCTGCCGCTGTGAGACCCGCATTGCCCCGATGTAGGATGTCCTGTAGACGTCCTGCTGCTGTGGGACCCGCACTTCCCCGCTGGCGCCTCAGGTGCTTCGGCTGCAGTGCAGTAGCGGTTAAGTCCTCGCGGAAAGCTCGGACCCCCTCGAACCAGTCCCTTTCCCGGTGGCTGGCTGCGCTCTCAACGTCGCAGGCCAGGTTCCTGAGGTTGCACTGGAGTCCAAATGAGTAGCGAGGCCACCCAGCCTGTAGCATGCGGACGTCCACAGCTGCGCCACCGCTGAATATGAGGCAAGTCGGGGAAGGCAGGCTTCGGAGAGAAATACTGTCCTGCCACTGTGCTTTGGGAAAAGGGCTATTCCTGAGGGTCCTTCTCTTTCTGGAACCTGCTGGAAAAGCGGGGACACCAAGATCTTAGTCCTAACATGAGGCTTTTAATTCACACCCCTCTGGAAGGAAGAGAATTAGGGTACTGGAAAGGAATTCGCGGGAAAACGGGTCTCAACACTTGAAGACAACACCCTCTCACCCCATCCCGGTATTCAGGAGTTTGGTGAACAACCGTCACTAAAGATCTTGGGGTCCTGGAGACTAAAGACTAGAAAAGGGGCCGCACTAAGGTTGTAGCTGAATTGGTAGAGTGCCTGCCTAGTATGATGGAAGCGCGGGGTTTCATTTCCAGCACCCCGTAAGTCCCAAACTTCAAAAGGTGGAGGCAAGAGACTCAGAAATTCAAGGTCACCCTCGCTTACATTGTGATACAGGAAACTCTGTCTCAAAGTGAAAAAATAAAAAGGAATGTATTTTCCTTTTAATGATGGGGGACTGGTGAGGTGGTTCAGTGGGTAAAGACACTTGTCACCATGCATGATGACCTGAATTTGATACCTAGTACCTACATGGTGGAAGGAGAAAACTGACTCCAGAGAGTTGTCCTTTGACAACTACACAGGTTCTTTAGTGAGGGTACATCCTCCCCGACACACATAATAAAATAAAAGGGGTGGAGGGAGCTGCCAAAACACAGGCTTCCTTCCGTAGATGGGCTAGTACCACCTGTAGGGTAACCAAAGAATTCCAAGGGTTGCCTTGGGGGAAGGCTCAGAGGAAATCAGCTTGGGGTTGAGTGTGGAAGGGTAGGGCTGAGGGCGGGAAGTGCTTTGAGTCACTGAAAGATCAATGGGGTCATTGGCAATAGGCTGTCAACTTAGCGGTCATCACAGCGTTTAAGTGAAAGAATGGATAGCATCTTGAAAAGCCTGACAGGAACTGGTTTGGGCTTTATTCTTGATCTCTGTCCTATGTGCTTCACTTTGCCAGCACAAAAAGCAGTCAGATACTGTGGGGGCGGGGGCGGGGCATGACTGTATCTACAGAACATTTTCAATGAAAGGGAGAAGGGGCAGTAAGATGGCTCAGCAGGTAACGGCCAAGCCTGTCAATATGAGTTCATCCCTGGGACACGCATGGTGGAAGGAGAAAACCACTTCCATGAGTTGTCCTCTGACCTCCACATGCACAGCCTTGTGCATAAACACACAAATAAATGTAATTAAAAAAAAAACTTAGAGGGGTTGGAGCGATGGCTCAGCACTTAAGAGCACTGGCTGCTCTTCCAGAGGACCTGCGTTCGGTTCCCACCATCCACCTGGTGGCTCACAACCATCAGAAACTCTAGTTCTGGGGCATCCAATGCCCCCTTCTGGCCTCCACAAGCACCAGGCATTCACAAGGCACAGATATACAGGCAAGTAAAACACTCATATACATAAAATGAATTTCTTTTTTAGAGACAGCGTTTCTCTGTGTAGCCCTGGCTGTCCTGGTCCTGGCTGACCAGGCTGGCCTCGAACTCACAGAGATCTGCTTCCTCTGCCCCCTGAATGCTAGGATTAAAGGTGTGCACCACCACTGCCTGGCCAAATAACTTTTTAAAATGTTTTAGAAACTGCATTGACACCAATCCTTGAATTTCGCTACAATTTTTAAAATTTGTGGTTTGCAGACTTCAGTTTGCTGGACCTAGCATAAATATTGAAGATGAGAGTAAAATCAAACTGATTAAAGTACTGGGGCTAAGTGACTATTGAGTGTTCAGGCCTGAAAGGGACATCTGTACGACCCTCTCCACTGCAGGGTGTGGGTGGGGGCAGAAAGAATACAAGAGCCAGAAGATGAGGGGTGCCAGGAAACATTGTCTTCTGGATATGACATAGCAGTTGTATCCATGAGTCCATAACTCCGGGCCCATCAAAGTGCCATCATGGATGAGAAGGGCACAGGAGACCTCAGCCCTCCCTGAGAAGCTATAGGCAGTTAATAGTTGGGGGGGGGGGGTCATATTCCTCAGTGGCACAGCCACTGATAAGTTTCCCTCACTCAAGTAAGTGACCTCTCCTACCCGTGCCTGCTCAGGCAACCCCAATTCACTGCAGTGGGGGACACACACACCAAAGACAAGAAAGTGGGAGGGGGACTTGCAAAGAAGGGGGTTCATAGGAAGAGGAAGGGATTATGGAGGACAGTAAGAGGATCAAAGTACATTACATATGTATGGAACTATGGAGGGATAAGTTGTTTTAAGTCTTAAAAAGCAGGGATCTAGACTATTGTGAGTTACTGGGGAGTCACTGTTCATACTTGTGTGTTCTAAGGGGGTCAGCAGGGATGACTGAGGATGGACAGTAGCTGTGGATTCATTGGAGGTCAGTGAATGTTACTAACAGTGATTGGGAAGTTGGTGTCATCTGGGGCAGGGTGAAGGTTGATGAATCAACTGAGGGGCCACAGAGACTTGGAATATTGGTTCCCAAGGAAGCAGAAAGTGGCCGGTAAATGCCTGTGGGTTTGCTGATGCCTGGGGGATGGACTTGGGTTGCTGGCAACTCAGGGAGGCAGGACATTGGTCTATGGACTTGGTGAAAAGGAGGAGTCACAGAAGCTGAGTCTCCGAGATGACTAATGGCAGTCATTAGTTCCAAGCCAGGCACTTCTAGAACAAACGGAGGGGTGTCACTAAGGGATTGTGAAAGGTCTATGGAGAAGCAGTAGATATCACTGGTGGGCAGCAGTCACTGGATACTCGCGGTACCCAGGAGCAGTGGCAGCACTGAGGTCAATGGGTCAGCTACGGTAATAAGCAGGAGACAGGAAAGCTGACCAGTGCCTGAGGAGTCTCTGCTTTGGTGGCTAGAGATCTGTCCAAGCAGGAGATGAGAAGCCAACTGGGAGGTCCAGAAGGCGGTGTCCTCTCTGGAGAAAAGGAGTATTTTTCTCATAGGCTCAAGTTTGGCTAATAAGTAGGTCTGCCCACCTGAATCCTGACTAGGAGGGTGAGGTGGGTCTCCACTGGGGTAACTCACTTGGTGGAGATGTTTTGTCCTCTGCTTGGCTGGGATTAACCTTAGTCAGCAAAGAAGGGGTGGTTCTCTTTCTCCAGACCACTGACCTGTCTAGATGTCTATCTTCTCATCTGTCCAAAACTCTGGCTGTCCAGATGGGAGTCTGTTCTCTAGGGATTCTGTCTGTCTTGGTGGTTAATCTTGATGATCAACTTAGCACACCTGAGAAGAGGGAACCTCAGTTGAGGAACTGCCTCCATCCCATCAGATTGGCTTGTAGCTATGAATGTGGGTATATTTTTTTAATTGCTAATTGATGTGGGGGTCTGGCCCATTGTGGGTGGTGCTACCCCCGGCAGATAGGTGGTCCTGGGTGGTATAAGGAAGCTGGCAGGAAAAAAATATTATTAAAGAAAGCTAACTGTGCACGAGCAGGAGGAAGCAAGCCAGTAAGGCAGCATTCCTCAGAGGGCTCTGCTTCAGTTCCTGCCTCCGGGTTCTGCCTTGAGTTCCTTATGCAGCTTCTCTCGGTGACAGACTGTGACCTGTAAGTCAAAAACTCTTTCTTCTTCCCTTGGTTAGGGTTTCTATTATGTCATCATCATGACCAAAAGCAGCTAGGGAAGGAAAGGATTTATTTCACCTATACTTCCAAATCACTTTATCATCAAATGAAGTCAAAGCAGGAACTCAAGACAGGAACCCAGGGTCTGGAGAGATGGCTCAGAGGTTAAGAGCACTGGCTGCTCTTCCAAAGGTCCTGAGTTCAATTCCCAGCAACCACATGGTGGCTCACAACCATCTGTAATGAGATCTGGTGCCCTCTTCTGGCCTGCAGAGATACATGCAGGCAGAGCACTGTATGCATAATAAATAAACAAATCTTAAAAAAAAAAAAAAAAAAAAAAAAAAAAAAAAAAAAAAAAAGAACGATTGAAAAAAAAATTAAAAAAAAAAAAAAAAAAAAGACAGGAACCCAGTAGGCAGGAACTGAGCCAGTGACCATGGAGTGTTCCTACTGGCTTGCTCAACTGCTTCCTTAGAGCAGTCCAGGGATGGTACTAGTAGCCCACAGTGAACTTGGGTCCCTCCACATCAACCATCAGTCAAGAAAACAGACCACAGGCAAACCTGGTTGGGGGCATTTTATCAATTGAGGTTTCCTTTTCCCAGATGACTTGGGTTTGTGTCACGCTCATCTAAAACTAGCCAGCACACTCCCCAAGTTGCTTTTGGTCACAATGCAGAAACTGCTTTTGGTAATTGCTACTGAAAACAAACTAGATCAGAAATTGGTACTGGGAGTGGGTTTTTGCTGTGCTGAATCTGACAGTGTTGGTTGTTTGGGGGAGGACTGTGGAGGACT